TCCCGTGCCTGGCTGCCCGCCGGGGGGGGGGACAGCCCAGACACACAGCGCCACAGCCATGCCGTGAACCGGGGCAGCTCTTCGTGTCACTGCACACGCGAGTCAGAGCCCTTTTGCGCTGCTCTTGGGTCCTAGGACACTTCCAGGTTCACGTGGATTTTTAAAAGCCTTCCAAAACACAGTAGCAGAGGGCAGACAAGTCTAAGCAATGTGGGGAAAGGAGGTGTTGATCTGGGGTACAGTTTCATGATTCATTCTCACTCTTGTGACGTTCAGTTGCACAGAGAGAGAAAAAGTGTGTCAGTAACAGGAAAACACCTCCTAATGAGAAATAAGAAACAGAAACCAGCGGAGCCAGTGACAGAGCAGGCCATGAGAAAAGCTTTCCGTAAAGTCAAAATCAATCGCAGACACTTGGGAACTGGCTTTAAGAGAATAAGATTGATTATTTTTTTAAATGATCTTTCATTCCCGTTCATCCATGCACGTATACCATGCATCTGCATCTGACGCACCTCCTCAAGGGAGCATATCTTTGACATATACATTATTTTACTACATAAAGTTATTTGGTTACTGGCAAAACCCTTCCATATCCTAACTATATGTACAAGGAGAGAGAGAGTGACACAGAGAAAGAAACAAACCTTCATATTTCTGCATATATACTTAAGAAAAAAGTATTTCTAAAGAAAAGTGACCTGAGAAGTGCAAACAGACAAATATCTCAGCAGAGAAAGAATATGACATCAGCTACACTTCCCAGAACGGGAGGAAAAGGGGAAGGTAGTAGAGCTAAACACAATCTAGGAGCATCCAAGATGCAGAATATGCAGAAAATAAAGTAACCCACCCAAAGCGACTACCCAACTAGCTAGGCAGCCATATTAAACCTATTTTAAGTACTTGTGTTAGGTCTCATGAAGACATCGTTACCAAATGCTCCGTTTTGTGCTCCTAGAAGTTTAGATATCTATATTTTCAGAAGAAATGTAAAAAAGCATCATTTAAAGTCTGAAATCCTGCCAGTTCCTGTGAGCAGGTGAAAGCAGGGCTGTGACTCTGCCGGCAGCACGTGACAGACGACGTGCCACACGGCATGGGCTATCTGATTTACCACCCAAAGGTAACGGGGAACTTCACCACCGTTTCCCGCAGCCGCCCCGGGGCAGGGCCCGACACTCACATCCAAGAGGCTGGCGGGCTCCAGGCCGTACTGCTGGCTCCTCAGCAGCAGCTGCAGCCCCTCCAAGCTCCAGTCCGTGCCCTCCAACGGGTCTGAAATATCTGTTCTGAGAAAAGACAAGGGGAAAAACATCACCGTGAACGAGACTTGCATAGATACGTATAGAAAGCAGGACCGAGCAGCCTTCCGACGTAAGGTTTATGTTTAAATCTCATTTAGAAAACCAAGAGCCCACTGTCAGCCTGGGTTTGTGCCGTACCACTTGGTTTAATCCCAGAAGTATAACCCAGCAAAGCAGAGAGGGGCCTGGGCTGACAGTAAAACAAGTGAGACGACTCCTCTCTTGGGTGGCACATGTGGTTTGGGGATGGACAGGCTGTGCACTTCTTTTCAAGACTGGGAAAATTAAAGCTTTCCTTAGAAGAAATCCCTCTAGAGATACACGTGGGATCCAGAACAGGCTGTATTCCCATCCTCCTGGGTCCAAGACGGCTGAATTACTATTAACTAATGGTTTTTAAAGGAGTGAATTTTGCCTGCAGGCTGTATTTACTGGAGACGTTTAACTAAAGGAGCAACTGTAAGGCCCTACTGTGTTTAACCCCCCCCCCAAAAAGCAATAAAAATGTAACTTAAAATCCAGAGTCCTTAAAAGACGATGGTTTTTCTCCTAATAAAACGTTTTTAAGTAGCCAGTGGGGTTAAGAAGGAGGAATTTAGTTCTCTGTAAGGACCCAAAGGAAAATAGAAGCCTTTATGATAAATCCATTGAGTGTGGGGGTTTCCCCCCCCAGCCCCGAGTTGTCCTCACATCGCCGCTGTTGCCGCAAGGAATGAATTCAGGAGTTAACTCCTACTTCATCCACCAAGCTGCAACCGTGCTTTTCTGCTGCTGGTGAAGCCTACTGTCCGCTCACCCACAACGCTGGTGCTGTTGGGACGCCCGTCTCAGACCGTGGCAGACCACAGCTCCCAAAGCGGCTCACGCCGATGGCCCTGCGGCTGAGCCCGATGACACTGTGCTAACCCCCCTTGCAAGGGGACATCGCTCTCTGGGTGACTGTCACGTGCAGGATACCTGCGTGCCCTGGCTTCAAAATAATGAAACCTCCGTCCCTTTTTATCAGACTCCTGCACTCAGTGAACACAAACTCCCAACTCCTCATCCCTGTGAGCGACCTCACTTGCTCTTTTGTGATTTTAAGGTATGATTTTTATACCTTTTTATAAAGCCTTGCTTGGGACTGCCTAGCATTTTACTGAGCTCCTCCAGTTCAAGGAGACAAGCCCAGCAATGCAGCTAAGTTTCGTGGGTTTTCACTCTTAGTCAGAGATGGGGAAGCTGAGATCTCTTGCGGTGTCAGCTCCCCGGTACCTCCCCAGAAACACACGGCCCACGCGACGGTGCCAAAGCGACTGGCTGCCCTCTGAAGACAGACCTAGCACTGACCCAGGAAAGTCACCTAGGAAAGGTGATAGGAGGAGATGCAAAGGAAAAGTAGATTAAAGAGAAAAAAAAAACAGATTAGAGAGGAAAAGAACGGGGGCAAATTATTTCCTTCTCAAGCCCAAGCCTGGGCCTGATAAATGCTTTGCAGCCTTACCAAATACTTGCCCTATAGAGGTTGTACACTCAGAGGTTACGATGATGATGGACTGTCATCTTCCATCACTGTCTGTGCATTGGCACACAAGTGACACCTTACCCACTCCACAGAAAGACCAGTGACCAATATTTCCTTATGACTTTATGTAACTGAAGACTCAACAGAACAAATGACAGAGGGCACAGAAGCTACTGCAGGTGTAGTGCCGTCCAGTGGCCTGCAAGTCTGCAGACGCGGATGCTGGTCTGGGCTCCAGCTTTCACTTGGACCTCAGGCAAATATCTCTCACTGCAAAAAGCCTCCTCCTGCTCCCATGGCTCTGATGCACATGCTCTGACAGCTCTTCCTCTGTTGGGTCCTTCAAGCAAGTCATCCACAGACTCCCCTACCCCTGTAAACTGTCCCCTGGGCTTCCAGGGTCCTCTAAGCAGGTGCCCCAGGTACAGGACAGAGCCCACCAGGCTGCACAAGGCAACTTAACGCCATCCTCCCTTTTCCCCCAGCTAATGGGAAGAGAAGGCCACGAAACACACAGGGCCACAGCTCTCCCTCGCTCCCCTCACCTGTCCAGCAATGCCCTTCTGCCTCTTCTCTCGGATGGTTGCGCGGTCCCCGGTGGGGCTGCACCACAGCTCCCTTTGCCTTCCAAAACAGACTGAACCATGGCAACCGGGAGCACAGGGGGCTCAGAGCAAGCCCGGCAGCCTGGCAGGGGCACATCAGGCTCAGCGGTGGCTTTCACTCCAGGGCTGACTGGCTCTTCCTTGATCAGCATGAGGCACTTCTCTCTGTATCAGAGACAAGAGTTAGCACCACACACACATCTGCTCCGCAACGGCCTCGTGCTACTGGGAAGGGCAATAGCACAAGGGCTTGCTTCCGCTTCTCATCAAGCTGCCCCACAGGGTCTTTCCATTCCCCTAGACGGGTAAAAGAAACCAGCAACCTTGTTTTCTTTTCAGCAAGCTCCAGAAACACGCTCAGCTGGAATATCTTCAGTCACTTCATCAGTCACAGCTATAATGAATTTGCCCTGTTCAATTGTTTTGCAAACATGGGAAACACACTTCCATGTGTTTGTCATTCCTCAGATGAGTGTCAGGCTTGAGACAGGTTAAACAGTCACTAGGCAAGAGGGGATCCCCTGAAAAAGAAAAGTCTCCACCCTAGAGATAGGAATGGGATCAGTAAGACCTTCCCATGCTGAAGTTAGGACTGGACCAGCAAGCTCTCTAGAGATCTCAGTGACACAGGTCAGGATCTTGTGGCCCTGCAAGATTTGGAACAGAAGGTGACAGTCCCAGTCAGATGTTTTACTTGTCTGGAAGCAGAGGTTTGCCTTTTCCAGTGAGAGAGGCACTCCACGTTATTGCCCAGAGAAGCGGTGGCTGCCCCATCCCTGGAGGTATTCAAGGCCAGGTTGGATGGGCTCGGAGCAACCTGGGCTGGGGGGAGGTGTCCCTGCCCAGGGCAGGGGGTGGGACTGGATGGTCTTTAAGGTCCCTTCCAACCCAAACCGTTCTATGATTCCTAGACGGACATATGACATTGAAGTTTTGAACAGTAGCATTTTGTATGTAAAAATCTACACTGTACTACTTATAGGAGACTTTACAGCTCTCTCTGAAACTGCACAACTGGAGCCAAAGTGACAAAGGTACGTAGATCAGCAGGCACAGGGCATGGAAAGCCGTACTGAAAAAAATATCTTACAACACTTACAGATTAGCTTTGCTGCAAGACAACACATGAGCACGTCACACATATGGGATGGTATGTGACCCTACAAAACCTCCCTCTGAACTCCTTTCAGATTGTCTTCCCATCTCATGAATCCTGAACTCCCACCAGAAGCTCATGTTGATTTAGGAAGCACCACACTTCTGAACTCATTAGGGCTGTGGCTGGCTCAGATTCTCAACTCATGCAGACACGACATAGATCAGAGGCCACCAGATGGCACCCAGCAATTAGTAGAAATAAGCAACTTAACTTGAAGGCTATATTAAATTTTTTCTGCTTTAGAAATGGCTTCCAGGTTGTTCATTTGTGGTTTGGTTGGGTTTTTTTTTTGTTTGGTTTTTTTTTTAATATAATCTGGAGCTCTTTACGTGCTTCTACCTAATATTATGGCTATGGTTTCAATTATTAGGCAGATTTACAGGCAGCTTCTAGAGTATAACCGCCTTGTCTATATGCCCAAGAAACTGTTTCCATGGTTCATCTGTCTACTTACTTTCCACTGACATAATTGTAGCTATTCTGCTACTAGCCCTAAATACACTGCATGTCTGTGGCAGGAAGAGATAAGCATTAAAATACCTCTGTGTTTGGTTCTTATGTTACTGGGACCTTTTCACAGAAAAGTTGTCAGACATCGGAAGTTGTTGTGATGCAACCTTTCTGTTCTCATTAGCAGAAAGATGCACAGTTTGATTCTGTTTCTTCTTTGTCAAAGCCAAAAGGAAACTTCCTTTCTCTCAAGAAACCCAACCATATATCTCATTACTTGATAAAGTCTGAGCTCCTGTTTTGAAAATAAAATACAAAGAAACATGGACTACTTCTCAAAGAGGTGAGTGGAAGTTCTCAGCATGAAACTCATGACTTTGTTTCAAAAGTTATGCTGCTGTTATCCCTCCCTAATTCTGAAAATCTGACCCATATTGAAAACTGGAAAAAAATATTCCAGCCCACCATCTCTACGGAGATTTGCAAATAAGACAGAAACTTTGGTAAAATTATAGCCAGGAAAACCTCTTTTGAAGTTATGCATCTCCATACCCGACTCTCCCTGTTTTTAATCACAAACACGTTTACCTGTCATTTTCAGGAGGGGATTGCATATTTATTATGTTGGAAGGTGATGCTTCAGTAATATCAGATATGATGGGTCCTCCAGCAATTGCAGGGCTGTTTAAGCAAGAGGCAGGTTCTGTCGATGGCTAAGAGGAAAACAAAAATCATACAGATTCATCCATCTGAGGACCAGAACAAGTCCAAGGTTCTATCTGAGACAGTTAGGGCTTTTTCACTGTGCCCTTAAGTCCTTGTGAGAAACCAAGAAAGCTTTTACTTACTACGCACCATGATAATCTCCCTGGTCTTTCCTCCAAGCAGACAGAAGTGCAGGTGTACAATAAGCACTGTGACTGATGTGTCAGCTACTAAGAGGTTTAACCATGGCTGACATTTTTGCCTAGACTGCTTTGCTTCCTCTGGAGAGAAAGTTCCAACACAGCCCAACAGGGGAGTATGGGTCTCTCATGCCAGCTCAAGTATTTTAACCGTGTACGCGTCACGTGTCTGGTGTCTGCTTTGGTGGGTCAGGGTCGGGGAGACCCTTCAGCGACTGCAAAAATCTGACTCTGGTCAGAAAGATCACAGTACCCACTTCTAGAACATACTTCTTCCTCTCTGCCCTTGAGGTGAGCAGCCTGGGGTGACACCACAGAGGGTCTGTGGTGCGGGGTCTGCCTTTCCCTCCCACAACCCACCGCCTCCCACATGAACACGACAGTACAAGCGCCTGCAAGCGTGCGCCCCTCCCTGGAAGAGGGGACCTGAAGAAATAATAATGTCACTTAGCTTCGCAAACCTCTTCTTCGCTGCCAAATTCTTGCCAAACTGCCTACTCTGTAATCTGTGTTATTGCTTCAAACATTTCTCCACCCTGGCCAAAGAAATCCCGCAGAGCTCAGAGGCTGGCGTAAACCTACCGACTGTATGAAATAGGGGTCATGGAGGGGGTCCGTAGACAAATGCCGGCTGACCTTGGACACTTGAGGAGATGAGATCCCGTTGTCAAGCATCAGAGGTCTGTGAAGAGAAAGAGGTTTGTTTCCCCAGCATGTACTGACTGGATCCCGGTTGCTCACACAAGGAATGTTTCAGCCAAGGGTTGTTTTCCCCCGAGTACTCTGGTTTTCCTCAGCTGTCAGGTACTTTCTTGTCCAGGACAAGGAAGGGAAACAACAGTTTTGGAAGAGGTCACCACTAAAAAAGGGCATTAGCCTAGAGAAGGGGTGATCTGGGTTTTCTAGGTCTTAGTTGCAAGATGCAAGTAAAATAACAAATTCAATTCATGTTTTGAATTGAACAAATTCAATTAATATTTTCTTCTAATTGCTAGTGGTTTCAAGCTCTAGGCTGAAATGATTAGTGCAATACTGGGAATTCTGGCCTTGTTACCAGCTCCCTCACACCCAGGGTCTCTTTGGCAAGGCTACATCTCTGTACACAGCACTGCATAAAAGGAAACCGTGCCACCCACTAATTAAGTAATGAACCAAAAGCAGAGCCTAAACTCTTTGCATACAGGCTTTTAAAAAATGACTGACGGGCTTTTACAGACGGCCACTGACAAGAAGAAGTGGGTCTGCAGACCGGATCCCGTAGCAGGAGTGCTTTATGTTTAGCAAATGATTGAAACCAAGAGAAAATGAGAAGGAGTCTCAAAATGGCATTGCCTTTCCATCGTGAAACCTCCTGGGTGGCAGTCCTTGGTTTTGTGATACAGTTCCAGAGAAGCTGAGAACTGGTATATTTTGCTACGCACCCACCATTGTTAATGCTGTGATGATCCTATAAAACTGCCTAGCAAATTACTCTTCTCCTCCTGCTGTCCTGCAGTCAGGAAAAGCATCTTCAGTCTTCATTCAGAAGACGGGGATTTGGGTGAGGGCAACAAGGATAGCCAACAGTTTTTTCCATAATAATGTCTAACAGGCTTGACAGAAGATAACTCCTAGCTCCCTTCATCCTACACACACGCTGGAGCTGGATACATTGGGAGAAATTATGGGTTTGCTCAGACTCCAATTAGATCCTACAGTGAAGGGCATTAAACAGCACGACACAGTGACCACGGCGCTTGAGATCTCAGTGTTGTCTAACAGCTTGTTTAACTGCCTTTTTCTATTCTGTGACATTACTGAAGACACAGAATAAAAAAAGAACATCTGAATCACCCTGACATGGACCTTGTTATGGAATAAGCTACCCTTCAGCACACACCAAGAAATCATAACTAGCCCTGTGACAATGATAAATTTGTAAGTGTCCAACTCTCTGCTCCAGGAGCCACAAATCAACCTCCCCATCCAACATTTCTTACCAAAGTTACTTTGGCGTCTAACAGCCTCCCAGTTCAGATGTGCCTGTGGGACCTACAGACATGCCCATCCTGTCCAAACCTACCCAGAGCCCCCAGTCAGCACTTGGGTCTGCAACCAACAGTTGCTCCGGGCTGTACACTATGCTTTCCTCCAGTGAGTTACAAGACAGGCAGGTAAACAAAACTGTGAACGATAGGAGGGCAGCTATAGAAACAAGAACTGAGGTTCCTTGAACATAGATCTTTGTGTTTCCAAGGAAGCAGAAACTCAAATTAATATGCACAATACCGTGCAAGCTGCAGCGGGGTTGTATCAGTATCATCCCTCTTCATAAGGAGGCCAACACAGTTGTTGTGCAGATAGTTCTGTGCTCTTCTGCCCCTACCAGCACAGTTTCTCCCTAATGATTTGCTTTCTCAAAAAGCAGTAGCCTAAGACAACATTTCTTGGGCTGCAAAGCTGCCCAGGGAGGGCACAGCCCTCACTGGAATCACCCTGACATCTGATCTCTAATTAGAGATCAGATCTGGCATCTCATTTCCCTGCTGCCTCAACTCCCCTGGAGGAAAATTGCTCCACTCATGAACCTCAGTGACTCAGAGCAGCTGATATCCTCTCCTTGAGCCCTCTTCTTTGTTACCGTTCTCCGTGCAGCGCTTATCCCTTTCCCAAGAGGCTCAGTAGAGGGGTAGGCAGAGAGAGGTAGGAGTACCCGGCTTGTACAGATTATGGGCTCCTTCAGTCAATCCTGTGTTTCCTTTACAATCCTCCCAAGAAGAGTCAGAACAAGGACAGTGACTTAAAGAAAACTAATCCCCTTGAGCAGCCATTCTTGGGAAGTATGGCTCCTTTCTCCGAGGCATGCAGAAGTTTCTGAGTTGCCAAAGGCCACAAGGTAACGAAAGTGGGAAGCGGAGGCAGGTCCCTGCCCTCAGCCTGAGCCACAAAGGCAAATTCCTCTTAGTATCCCCTCTCCCCCCTTTAGATTACAAGCACCACAGAGCAAGAAATGCACGGCTGCTCTCCTGGAAGGCACTAAGCTTCCTAATTCAATTTCCTCTATTCACTTGCCTTGAAGAGCCTATTTATGACTCTAAAGACAGCCCTTAGCTAAAATCTTTCTCCACCTTCGTCCCTGTAAGGCCCGCAGGTTACATGCCATCCAACCCGTGTCAGATATTCAGGGACTGTGGGTCAAACTAAAGGTGTCTGTGGGCTGGCTGGGCCCAGCCCCGCTCCCGCTGAGGACAAGTGGCAAAACTGGAACCTGTAGGGCCAGCAGTGGGGTCCTGCCCTTTACTCTCCCACTAGTTAGTGTTCCCATCTCCCATTGCGCCCTGTATTCCCCAAATAAAGGTCACGAGCTGACACGGTGCTTCTCTAAAGACCACTGAATGGGGCATGTCAGCAGGTCTGACTCGGCAGTTCAGCCCATTCATTTCCCATCACCATGGTGCCCCGGTCCGGTGACCGCCTGCCTGGGCAAGCTGAGCTTGTGCTTTTAGTGAGGGGGCAGCATTATGCACCCGTGAGCGTGTGCGCACCACACAAGGGTACTTACAGCTTCCTCTTTATCCCGGTGCTGCTGGGGCTGGATTGGAGCTGGCCAAACAGAAACTGAATCAGCTGTCAGGAGAGATCAAAATCCGGTGTTAATCAGCAGAGTGATTCAGCACTCCCTGCTCTCGCAGCCGTTCTTATCTCACACATTCCTCCCTCCCGACACCACCCCAAAGCTGGGAGCAGCTGTGAAATACGGGAGCCAAATTGCATGAGACTTCAGAACCCGAAACCAAACTAAGCTTTCCAAGAACTCAAAGGACCAACCTAGCTTTCAAGAAACACAGCCAGGTGCCTGCTTTGTGCGAAGGCTGCTTTCTCTCACGTGCTCAGCCCCTTCTCTCTCTACTTCTGTGCATGCAGAACGCCAGCTACGCCTATTAGACTTGGGAATCTGCCTGTGAAGTACACATGCAAACATTCCTAGGCCTGGAGTTTGACTTGGCCTCCGTAAAAGTCTTTAGAGACCTTTATAAGAGGCTCTGACAAAGACTTTGCAAGTGAAAGAGGCAACCCTCTAGGGGAGACCCTGGATGGAGGTCTTAGCTCTTTCAGTTGAGTTTTTCAGCCCGGTGAAGTTCAGTGTTGATATAACAGGACATTAAAAAGGATGCAGAATGGCTTTGGAAAGGAATCGCTTAGCAACATGTTCCCAGGTCAGCTTGAGACTAATGCTCTGCTTTGACCTCCAAACAAAGAGAGCATTATTATTATATATCACAGCTGTCTCTTACTCATTGCTCAATATAACAAAATAGAGTTGCATAAATGCCTCTACAATGAGTGGTGCGGCTGGTCCAGCCTCAGAGCCGGAGGAAGGTTTGATGGCCTCGTGCATTTCTACCCAGTCCTATGACTCTGTGATCCCAGGGGGATTGGGAAATGTGACACACTCGGTCACGTCAGCACCATCTGGGAATCACTGGAGAGGCCTTTTCTAGTACTGGTCCTGCTAGATTTCAAGGGAGATGGCTCTGCAGTGCTCCTTCAGTCTAAAAGGTGGTACAGTCATTCCTCAACTATATCAGCAACACCAGAAAGCGTAACAGTTGCTGGAGGTGCCCAGTGGGGGAACGGCTAGCCAATTCTGCCGCCTGCAGCTTCAGTGCTGGCAGGAGGGGGGCTCCTCTCTTGTAAAAAGGAAGCAGGAAAGATTTGGGAAGCCCAAGCAGAACACAGCCAATACAGGGCAATTAGTGAGAGTTGTGCTCTCGTACTCAGGACTTCGACAGAAAACCGTTTTCTAACATCACAGCAAGGACTGACAGGGAAATTTAAATCTTTTGTTCAAGGGCATAATCTATGATTGTTAATGACCACTTTCTATAGGACACATAAGAACATCACACAATTTGAAAGAGAGAGAAAATTCATATAGGATGATATCAGAGTGTGGAGAAGATTATGGGACAAGAAAAAAAAAAAATCAGAAGAGGACATACACCATGCAGTACAAGTGAGTGTGGAGTTTGTATGACCACTACCTTGTTGATCACTTTCTGTTGCTGTGAGTGGTTCTGTCGGAGAGAAACAACTTCCCGCCAAAGAACTTCATTTTGCCTGAAAGTGAAACAGAAACTTTCCATGAGCACAGAAACATCCCAACAGCCCCTGGTGCTGCCATGATGCACACTAAACCCAACTGTGCAAAGGCCGTCTCACTCTGGGGCTCTCGCAGCGCCTGGCTCTTTTCAGGTGTCCCAAACAGGGTCGCACAATTGCTTTCCTTACTTTTCCTTGGCCTCAAAAGAACCACAGACCTAAGCATGGAGGAAAAACAAATGCAGGGAAGCCAACATCTATAGGGAAGGGTAACAGGAGGACATGTACTTAGTTTTTGTGGAATGTTTGGGCCATACTCAGAATTTCAGCAAGGCCTGATTTGTGACTTTGAATGATTTGGACCCGATTTGTGACTTTGAATGATTTGGATCCGATTTGTGATTTTGAATGACTTGCATCACCAAGGCTGTTCTTCCTGTGGGAGCCAAGAAAGCCCAACCTCTCCACAACCGCCCCCAGAGACCAAGAGACCCTATGGACAGAGATCCTATGTGTTCTGCCTGCTGAAACCTCATACACGTGGTGGTACAAAGGCATGTTTGGGAGTGACTGGAGCAGTTAAAGGGATGCTCCTGCATCTGAGAGCCTTGAACAAGGAGGACTGGAATGATTTGATTAATAGGAGTCACTGATTTCATCCAGCACAGACCTGTGGCCAGCTTGCAATTGCATAGAGCGTATTTAATTTCTGTCTGCAAATGCAGCACACAGGGGAGTTTCTTGACTGTTCCTTGAACAGTCAGCCCCAGAAAGCAAGATAGGGAGATGCAGAGTTTGTTTACTGTGCTGCCTCCAAATGTGGACGCCAGCCAAGTCCGTGCTGCAAAAGGCTTTGCCAGGCAATTTATCTCCAGAGTATATGGCTGTACCGAAACAGACAGGCCAGCAAAACCTACCGTACAGGTGAAATCTATAAATGCACTTGGTTTTTAATCTTTCTAGTTTGGATTGATGCTAGAAGTGGAAAGATAAGATCCAGGGCTCGACAGAGCCCTGTCACTGCCCTAGTAGAGCAGCTTGTACAGCAAGAACCTCTGCAGGGAACTTTCTGTACTGCTACTGACAGGATTTTCAGCAAAGCAGCTTTCCTTAGTCTGACAGCTTGTACTGGAATTACGTCCTAATGGTTCTTCACCAGTGTAAGTTTCTTAACATGGTTTCGGCCTGGGATTTCTGGTCTGTCTTAGTTTATAAAAATCGTATTACTTTCATCAATTGAATGCAGTTTTGCCTTTTGCCAGATGGAGGAAGGGAGCAAGCAAATCAAAAGGGAGAATATGCTAAAAGCAGGGCCAAATCATTGATACTGGAATTCCTTAAATTTAAATAAGATACAAGCCTAGAACCTCTTTCATTGCTACTGTGCCTGGATTTCACGGTGTGATTTCATGCATGTGCCAAGTGTGGGAATCGTTAAAAACTCAGGTAGGATAAATATTTTTATCTGTTGCGTGTAAAGTGCTGGGCTGGAATGAATTTTCACAGTATATGGTGTTGCGTCAAGGCCCAGGATACCAGTGTCATCTGGTGATGTATGAATATCAGTTTTCATTCTAAAAGAAGGGGTTTGGGGCTTTGTGATTATTCAAGTGCTTTTTAAACAAAGTTCTCTGTAAGGATTAAAATCCTGGAGGCAAATAAAAACCTCTCCAAGTACATGATTTATAAAACTGTGTCCATTTACTAAATTCCTAGTGACCACGTCTGACTCAGAAAATCCCAGAGTCTCAGACAGCCGGAGGTCAGGCAGCCACATGCAAGCAGCATTGCGTTTGCTTGTTTTGATCTTATACGACAATTTTGGCCGTGTCAGAAGACACAGTCTTCAGAGAGATGGACTAAACACTAGAGTGGTTCTTGTGTTCTTATATACTTTAGGCCAGTCATATATTTTGGAGGTGGAGGATGACAGAGAGATATTCTTTTTTTTTTGATAGCAGGAGTGGGCACCAACACATTTCTGCCAAGGACTCTTCTAGGTGCGAGAAAGAGTTTCATCTCTTTTTATCATCATTTCTATCTGGAGGAAATACCGTTATCTGAGCTAAGTCTCCAGGTTATACACATACTTCCTGCACGGCCCCCTCTGTACTTTCCTCATCTCTAAAGGGAAAATATAGACGAAGAGAACATGTCCACCTTTCACAGAACACAGAGAGGCTGAGTATCGTTTTGTAGATCATGGCATCTGCATAGAAATTCTCCATGTTATCATCTGTACAGATCTAGTCCCTACGATTAGTCCCTGGCTCAGCACATGCTTCCTGGGAATCACAGAATGGTCAGGGTTGGAAGGGACCTCTGGAGATCATCTAGTCCAACCCCCCCAGGTGTGTAAGGTTCCTCCTTTCAAACATTCCCCAAGGTCAACAACTCTCGAGAAGCAAATGCCCGTAAGAAGCAGCCTGAGTAGGATTCAACTCACTGCTTCATGTCCTGCACTTGACACTCCATGTTCTCCTGCTGACTCCTCAGTATCTGTACCTCGTATAGCAACCTGCTGAGGTCCTCCTGGCGCATCTTGGTCTCCTCACTTTTCACGACCGACACCTGAGGAAGAAAAATAAAAGATGGATTTTACCAACACAAGAAGGGCATGGACAGAGGTGTCTCTGTGCCGGGTTCTGACACGCAGAAATACTGGGACAGGCAATGCACGTACAAGAGTCTGAACTATTCTTAGGGTATTACTGCGAGGGTCAAAGGGATAAAATAGAGCAAAGAGCAGGAAAAATCCTTCCATACAGAGGGTCTGTTGGCAGCAGGATATTCTCCATTAGAGTGCGGACTTATTTCAAATCAGATTGGGGGAAAAAAAAAGGTATTTTGAGGAACAGGGTGGAATTGAACTAGGTTATTTGATTAATTCTTTCTACTTTAATTACAGAGAGACCAAATCCAGCCTCATGTTTTACAGGAATGAACCTGAGGAACTGCTTTAAATTGATATATTACAGTTGGATTTCCAGAAGGCTTTTGCTGAAGTCCCATTTCTGAGTCAATAAGCTAATTCAGTAAGAGAACAGCCCTTTTGGGGCATCAATAAGAGGTTAAAAGATAGCAAACAGAAGGTAGGAGTAGGTTATTGCTTCTGTAATAACAGGAGATGACTGTTTGGAGAGCCAGTAGGATTTACGTTGTACTTATCTAGAAAAGAGGGTAATAATTCAAAAGCAGAAGGGTGCGAAGCAAGCCTGGCCGTGCGGCACTACACGAAGGTCTCGTGCTACTGAGCGATGGAGCAAAAATACACAGACAAAACTCTGATGAAAGCCAAGCCCGGCACGCTGAGGACCCCTGCCCCAACCGTATATGCGTATGGAGAGGGCAGAAACCAGACCACAGTGTTTTTGGGGTTATGCTGAGCAGTCTGTAGCATGGCAGCCCGAAAGCAAACCAGCATTTTGGGGAGTTATCGAGAGGAACGCAGCCACGGTAGAAACGCTCACAATGACCATGGAGTGCTGTCTTGGTCAATCTGCCCCAAAAAAGTCATGTGGGAAGGTTAGAAAGGCCCAGGGCAGAGAGCCATGACAGCAGGCACAGAAGGGATCCTTCGAGACGCCTGAGGGAGGGGAAACAAGTATTCCCTACTTCGCTCCTAGCACCAGGCCCGGGGAAATAAATTAAATAAAGAGATGAGAGGCATAAAGCAAGCCAAGGGAGCTACGCCTCCACAAAGACCGTTAGTTCAGTTGTGGGGCATACTGTTAAGGGATGTTTTGAACAAGCAACCAGGCAGCCTCTCCACAGCGGCGGTGTGGAACCTTCTGGAAGAGGGGTCTGCCGCGCCTCGGCCTTCCCGCCCCGGGGGGCTCAGCGGGGGCCCTGCCGGCGCGTGTCCCCCCCCTCACCTTCCTCTTGATGTGCTCCAGGAGGTGCTCGTGGCCCTGCAGAAAGCAGAGGTGCTGGAACTCGGTGTCGTCCCGCTCGGGCTTGACGAGACCCCCCTGCTCGATGTTCACCACCTTCCTGAAGCCGTCTGCGTGGAGAGGGCGCGGGTGAGGGGCCCACAGGCCCGGGCCTTCCTCCTCACCTCCCACCCCCATCACTTTTGAGGACCTTTCTCTTCACTCCCCACACTTTTTGAGCTGCTCCAGCACTCAAGGCTCCAGCTGTGCCCTCTCCCCACACACTTTTGGGCCGTATCTACAAAAAATCCAGCATGAGGGAGAGCCCTGTGCATGCCGCTGGCCCACGCCATGAAAGCCTCACTGGCAGTCCCTTGGGCATGTTGGCCCGCCAGGAGCTGAAATGTCCACTCTTATGAAACCTCTGGTTTGATTTTCGAGCCAAAGGGATTCGGCGGAAGGTTTTTCAAAGGCACAGACCAGCATCAGATGCCACTTTTGGAAAAAAAGGTCACACGCACATCGGGAAATCTACTTTTGAGCACTTCTACAAAGTCCTAAATAGGTTTCTAAACCATATCTAAAGACTGGCCTAAAATTTACAATAGTGCTACTGTATAGTTAAATAGCAAAGCTAAAACTTCACTGAGGAACTTTGTGAACTAGTCATTGAAAAACACTCCAAAGCTACCCTAATTTTAACACAGTTGTGGTCTAGATGTGGCTAAAAACTTTACCTAAATCTCCACAAAGAGGTGAAAATGTCTGAAAAGCAAGGCAAGGTTTGCAGGGAGAAGTGCTGTCTGTAATTAGTTCAGCGATACGGCTGGTGAAACGGATGAGCTCTGGGCTCTACCCTCAAAAGCAGCAGTTCCTGAGGGAGGTGTCACAGCATCAGGCTGCTGGAAAAAGCCCCATATAGACCCAAATGCAAAAGAAATAGTAATAGGTCATCAAATCGATGCAGGAGAAGCAGAAAACCTGGTAGCTGAAATTTCCTAGCTCATACCTTACAATGTAGAACAAAAATTTCATGCTGGAATCTAAGGTCAATGGAAGGAAATCGCTCCCCTGGGATCCCAGAGGCCAGTCCCCTTTGGCAAAATCAATAATGCCACAGTAACACAGATATTTTTATCAACAGCTTTTCTATCAACAGTTCTCCTTCAGCACGAAGGACTCCTGTCCCACCCGCGCTCTCCGTTGCTCCCCCCATCTCTGTAGGACCCACACGGCCTAGGCTCTGGAGGTTGAACTTACACATGTTCAGCTGCCGGACGAAACTGGCCATGTTGTTGTGTTTGAAATACTTGGGCAGCACCTCTTTGGCAAAGCGTCCTTGGTCGAACACATGGAAGCTGGTGCCATTCTGTAATGGAGGAGACACGGACAGAGGTGAAGTCAGAGGAGCGTCCCTGACCACGAGAGGCACCAAGAGGTGATTCCCTTGAGTCCTACAGCGGGGCAAGTCATGCTCTCTGAACGGCCACCTTGAAGCTAAGAGTGACAACAGCTTTCAATGATGGACGTGTACCTTTCAGTTCTGGAACAGTCTCTCTACGACTGCAGTTTTGATTTTTTTCTCCTAAGCTTTGTCATCGCTTAGTTCAGAGCCTTGGATGCGAGAAAGAAACTGCAGGCACTGGTAGCTTGTGATCGTCCACCCTTGCATGGACCTCACAGAAAGACTCTGGTGTCTGAGGAAGGGCCTGGAAAGCGGGAATTGCCACTATAACCCTTCGATCTGCTTGTATAGGTCTAATTCCGACCCACCCGTTCCAGAGCACAGCAGTCCCGGAGGGAGCGCTGCCTGGAGACCTGCCACAAGAAACACAGCAAGGCAAGAAAGCAAAGCATCTCTGGAGACACCACACTGATCCAGAAGCTCTACATACCTTCTCTTGATTACTTTTTAAAGTACACAGCCACAAAGGCGACCTGCAAAAGGTTAACAGTCATGCTTTACAGACCAAGTTAGCAACATGCATGTTAACTAGATAAAATACCCATTTCTGGGGTTGCAGTGCCAGGATCCGTGATTGCAAAACAATGCAAGCTGCCTGGGAACGCTGGCAGAGACAGACACGCTGCGGGCCATGTGCTTCCCCTGCCCGGCCTTCTACCTGCTGACAGTTAAGCTGGTAAAGAGAGGGCTTCTGAGACACAATGCACCAAAGCTGCCTTGAAACATTTTGCAAACAGCCATTCACGCAAACTCATCAGCCTCAGTGTGTCTCCAGGATATGGGGACAGAAGGACCACCTCAAATCCTCTCTCTGCTTGGGATGGGGGGGGGGGGGGGGGGGGGGGGGCAGCACAGCGAATGCGGAGGAATGAAGAACTATGATTTCAGGTGTGGACTTTGAGGCACAAGTGGCATTTTTGTAAACTTGCAGGGAATGGTATCTAGGGGCTCACACTGGCTTTGCTTGTGGAGAAAGAGCTTAATGGAGGGACAGGCAAGATGCAGAGACCTATGCCAGTGCAAAGACATCAGCAGATATTAGGGACTTACCAACTTGGCTGCAGCTGAGTTTCACGGCAGAGCTAGCTAAAGACACCAGGATCTGCACAGTGTTGGCAGGGAGGGCTCCGAGACCAGCACAGCCGGAGTCACCCTCCTGCTGCGTTCAGCGTTATTACCAGCATCGAGTGGTGTGTCAGCTCAGGAAGGTTATTTCAGAGCGCACTGGTTTTTGACAGAGGAGGACAGTGTTTCGTAAGAGTGAGCACCCAGCGATGTGTGGGTCCCACCACGCACCCATCACAGGGTCTATAGCCGCATGGGTGCGCTCAGGGCTGCCTGGAAGTTTCTAAAACAGGGAGTGTAATCAGGACCACGAGAACGCTCAGTGACTAAAGCGGGGCCGGTGTGTGCCTGTAGCCTGCCCACCGCCACTGGAAAACAGCCAGCTGGCAAACCCTCCTGCCCTACTCGTTGCCACTACACTTCCATCACCAAATGCTGCCAATTCCCTCCGTGCTCAGGCTCATTTGCCAGCTCTGACAATTAACCCTGCATGCCCACAAACACACAATTTTGGGTCAGCTGTACTTCTTGCTCCTTGTTCACTGCTGCAAACATGACTGCTTGCCTCGCCAGTGCCCCTTCACCATCACCAGGGTCTTTCCTATCGTTTCTTACCCCATGCAGCAGAAGCAAAGGCTGATGCAGCACTGAAGAGACTCACTAATAACCTGTGTGCTGGAATTATCCTCACAGACTGAGCTCGCAGACACGAAAGCAGGGACCAGGGTTTCCCAACACTGCCAAGGCTGTTTGGGGGCACAGCTCGATTATCCTGCTTCCCTTCCCTGCTTCTGCCCTCCCACTCTCCGGGGTAGGGGTGTGTGTCCCAGGCTGGGCACGGCGATGGAAAGAGAAGCCCAAGGGTTTTGTGTACCTGAATATCTCCTTATGGCCTCTCTTGAGAGGTCATTCCTTTGAATTCAGGGTTGCAACGTTCTCAGAAGCTGATGTACCCAAAAAGGTTCCTACAGACACAAGAGACTTCGGAGTTACTGTGTGTTCACCGATGAAGCGTGCGTGTGCCAGCTTGTTCCCACACAGCAGCTGTGCCTTGCTTGTCTTACACCTTGGGAGCACAAGCTGGGAGAAACTTTGAAAGTCTTCTCCACCCAAGGCAAAATCGACTCTGCAGCATGTCAGTCCTGGCACACGCTCATCTTAACTACTTTTGACAGACCCATGATGACAGACACCCTGAGCCCAGCCCAGGCAAGCTACTCTGGGAATTTGTTAGTTCTTCCTACCTGCATTTTCCATTTCAAAAATTCACTTAATTGCTTCTTGTCCAATCTACCATGGACACAGACAGCAGAGTTTTCCTTTCCACCTTACAACAGCCTTTAGTGTGTCTATAAACCATTACCAGGTTTCCTCTCCATCTCTTCTCTTTCATGCTAAGAAACAGTTCACAGGTCTATTTTCTAAGAGTTCCGATTATGTCCAGAAATCGCACACAATTTCTCAGCTCCAGCAACACTGATGGGTAGAAGGGAAGGATGCAACATGGGAAACTAAGACACCTAAAAGCCTTACCAAAACCTCCCAAGAATGTAACTATAGCCTATATTAGGTTGCAGGAAAGCAGAGTGTGGTGAAGCTGGGCAGTCAAAAATAACAGTGTTAGAAGCGTAACGGAGAGGGCACTATTCATAAACGTCAGAAAATCCTTCTTGGTTATTTAAAACACAGGCTACCAAAACTCAGTGGCTGGGACAGATATGGCCATGTAACACCAACCTCAGAAAGCGACCATTGCCTTGGGTAACAGTGCAGCTCACACCCCATCTCAGGTTTTGAATGAAAACTCTACTGGACACAAACACATGACAGAAAGGCTGCTTTAGACTAATGTCCTTTTCCCCTTAAATCTGCTCTTGTTATAGATTCTCGATTTCAGACAACAATTTTATGCACACAACTTATCTGATAACTCCCTGCTGAAGACAAGTCACAACATTATTTGCAGCAAATCTTACTTAATCAAGCCAAAAGCACAGCGTGGTATCAAAACAGTGTACCAGGGGACAAACAAATCACTTTAAATCTCTGATTGCGCTTAGTACATTAATGCCTCGGTGACAAATAAGAAGCCAAAGCAAAGCAATCTATCCCTATGAAGCTGTACAGACAATACATACGCACATCACCACGATCATCGCACAGACAAGTTGAAACATCAAGTAAAGCTCTTCCAAAATAGCAAGTGATTTAGGGTGCCGGTCTGAGATCTGTTTAAACCGCAGGTTTCAGCCTCAGGTCTGAACGCTGCTTATCTGCTGCCTTCTCCCAAGGCATTTGTGAAAGGCTGCTAAGAAACACGCGTGAAATAACACAAACAGTAGAATTCTTTAAGGGCTTTGCACCTTAACATTTTCTAATTTTAGGGAACTGCACATTGAAGCAAGGTGAAAAATCTCTCTCTCTTAAAGAGTCTGTATTTTTAGAAGATTCAATACAAGGCACCCTTTAAGACGCTTCAAGTGAAATGTGTGAATATAGTTACTAGAATACTCTCAAACCAGTTGTCCCTTTGAAACAAAAGCCACAATATTGCAAATAAATAATATCAAGTATATGCAAAAGGTACCCTAACAAACTCTCAGTCCTTTCACTCTCCCAGTTAGCTGGCCAGCACTGGTAAAGCAAAGGGAAGATGTTGTGATACCATTAAGGCCTCACAGCATGGTTTCTCCGAGTGTTGCAGGCACTCAGTGACACCCGATATTCGCTGTACTTACACTGCTCCAGCAGATGAGATGGTTCGTTTCAGGATCTTCCACCAGCGTCCAGAGTTTGGTTAGGAAGGCTGGCACATTGCTGGAGTATCCATCCATCACCAGAGAGCCGGGTGAATCCTGCATAGTTTTTCAGTGCCCCAGCTACGCTAACCCCATTGCTCTCAGCGTGCCTGCCTCCCTGCACGCGCGTGCGTCCCACAGAGAATGAACCACTGAATTTTATCCCGGGCCAGTGGAAAGTAGGCTCCCAGGGAGTCACATCAGCAGTGCTGCTCGCACTCTTAAAAACTCAGCACAATGCGATGGCATCACCAGCCCCAGAGAACAATACACAGAATGAAAATGCACTGCAGCCGATCTCACAGGGCTGTGAATAAACACGCAGCGTCATGCAAAGGGAACACGTGCTGTGCACCTTATGCTGGGAGGTTAGCGAGTCACCGGAGGGAACCCACTTGCCGGGATTCTGTGGGACACCCAGGCACAGCAATGCCAGGGTTGTGAAGGTACCTGAAGTGTGATTTTGGAATTTTCTTATCCTAAACATTGACAAGCATGGTGGTGCAACACCACCCCCCACCTCCTTTAGGCCACTCGGTACCTGGCGCGATTCCCTCCCCACCTGGGCCACATAAGAATAATACAATGGACCAGAACGTCACAGAATGGTCCAACATGAAAGAAAGGAAAGGTGGAGAGCAACGGACCAGAACAGTATGGCAACCCCTTAGCGTGCCTGGCTCCCGTGGCCCCTACCAGTTGAAAATAACAACTATAATCGATCACTCCTGACAACATAGGGACTGTGGCCACAAAGGAGGGGATACCAGGACCCCAGGATCTAGCAAGTCCTCAGCTTGCCTAACTGGTGGGAAGTACCAGACTACTCCATCGTCCGAGCTGGGCCAGAGCAGAAAAGTACCCAACAGAAGTCAATTATCTCGGATCCTGTAAGCAGCGATTCTAGGAAGACCCTTTGAGGAATGCCGATGCACTGCGAGCATTTACTCTAAACTGGGGAGAAGGGACACTTTTAACTACAGGCTAGCCTCTGTCATCCACCTCTCCACCTGTATGTTTATGATATACACAGCAGCTTTATGGATGTGGGTGTGCTTCTGGTTGTCCGTGCACGCACAGGAGTTAAAAGAGGTACTCGTCAGCTCCTTTGGGTCGCCCGCTACTAAGAGATTTTGATTCCAGCAATCACAGACCTGGGTGTGTGCATGGGGGGGTGTCCGTGCTTATGTGCTTTTGCTTATATGTATTAATTTGAAATAAATGCTTTTGCTCGTATGCGTAGGTATTGATTTGGGATACCTTATAGTTAGTCAGTGTGAATCAGTCAGTGTGAATCTTGTCATCTTCAAATCTGTAATTAATTCGCTGTTCAACTATTTTGTTAAATCCCTTTGTAAATCTTTCAAACTGTTAATGATTTAAGTACTGCTAAAATTCAGCCTCTTGATCTACCTCAAATCATTAATAAATTTTGAATTGCTGCTAAATCATAACCGTGTCAAATATTTCCATCCGTGACAAACTGGCACAGTCAGCAGGATGGCAAGCAAAATCACCGAATACTTGCAAAAACACGGTATCCAACCAAATCCAACCTTCCCAGAGGATTGGGCTTGTAATAACTGGGAAGAGGCAGAAAAACAGTTAACTGATGCTACAGGTTTGATTAAAGTTGGAAAAGACAAAGATACAATTTCTGAAATGTGGGGAGTGTGCCTAGAAGCTGCCTGTCAGGAAAGAGAAAAACTGACTCCAAAAATACGGGACTTACAGGATGAGATAAAGGGGGGAAAATCTACTGAACTGTTGTTATCAGTTAAAATAGAATAACTGCAAAAAAAAAACCTTAATGAATTTTAATTAAAATAACAAAAACTTGGAGAACGCGTTGAATTGATGCTAATGCAATCTCCAGATCCCCCCAACCTAGTTCAAATTAGAAAATTAATTGTGTCTCCAGAAGACCAGGATGGTAATATCTGGGGTGATTAGAAAAATAATGGCTCAGACAAAGCTAATTGTTTACATTCACCTGAGCCTCCCCTACTCCCAGTCAGACCAGTTATTAAATCAGAAGTAACCACACGACCTCAGGGCGGTAAAGGAGAAAGCACTACTAAAACAACTCCACTTTATTCAATTCAGATGACCGATTTACAAGACCGCTATGGCCATAAGCCTAGAGAAACTGAAACTGAATACCTATGGGGAGTGTCTCTGCCCACGGGAGATAGAATTTTGCTCGATGGCAAGGGAGCCAAGAGCCATTGGGTCCCTGGCGTCTCTTTAAATGCTGGTCCTGACTCCGCAAAGGTCTCCAACTCACTAACCAGCAGAGTAGCATATTGGGCTGGTGGCATCGATGTTTTAGAGAGGGGAAAACACCTATTAATACCCATCAAATCTCTAAAAGCTCTCCGCAGCTTATACAAGGGCTGCTTGTATTCAAGCCACGCATCAATGAGACTTCACTGATGCTCCTATCCCAGCACCTGTAACTCCTGCTATGCTGAAACCTTTAATAAAAGGAGCCCCTGCTGCACTCAAACCTTTCCTTATTGTGAAGAGAGATGAAAACCAGAGGAACTTAAATCATAATGAATTAACAAATTTAACACAGACCATTAAAGAGGATGAAGAGGAAGATGAGTCAGGTCGCAGGGAAGTCCCCACCTTGGCAATGTTAATGCATGAAACTATCAGTCATATGCAAGAAATGGGATGGGATGAAATTCCAGTGAAATGAAAAATACAGGTTGCACTGTTAGGCAAATTCAGCAATCACATCAAAACAGTGCCCAAGAACCAAAATCCACTGAGCAGCAATTAAAGGGCCAGGAGTGGAGAAATGAGTTATGGAAACAAGCACTGGCACTAAGAATTCCTAAAGCCGCAATTTAGAGACAGCCTACCAGCGCCATTCTGAGTCTAATTCAAGCATTCCAGAAGTGAGAGCAGCCAAACACTCCAACTCCTCCATCACTGGCTCCTAGGGAGAATATTAACCCTTTCTCCCCTGACAGAGATCAGGTACAAAACACAAAAGCAAAGGACTAATAGCGCCTGCAGGGTGATTGCACCTGTCTGTCCAGAAAATAGAAACTTATCAATGGCTAAATATCAACGACCCTTACATTTTAATTCCGGTTGGTCCTTGAAAGCAATTAACAAAATTCTTAGTTGATACTGCAGCACAAGTTTCAATTATTACACAACAGGATGCCTACAAGCTGGTTTTATGACCTGGATGGCAGAGAGGTAAAATTACTGGAGTTGCGGGAACTTGTGCTGTGTGTCAAGCTGCAAAAGCTAATTTATGGCTCCGTGGCGAAAAGCGTATGACATATCCTGCATCACAAAAGGGGGTAAGCTGTTTGGCCTTCCCCACTGAGACAGTTCTCTCTTCTTTTCTTTCTCTTTAACAGAAACGACGAACTCACCAATGACATCGTGGGAACGAACATCATCTCCAATGATCCCACTAACAGCACAGTGGAAGCAATCCTTATCTTCGACATCGACATCTTCACAGCATCATGCCGACTCCTCCTCTCCCTCACTGCACTGATCTGCTGGGATACACATCAATGGCAACAACGATGATGATAAATATAAGCCCCTTCCCCACTCTCTCTCTCCTCGTTGGTGTAAGTATGTTTACAATAGCCCACACACAAGATCCGTGGGACCATGCGCTACTAAGACACACTGGAAGTCTTGGCACACCACAACGCAAGGCAGGCCTAAGTCTTTCTACTTTAGTCTTACATGGGAAGAAAGCATCCGCAAAAGAGGAATGGGGTTGGGATGACTCTCATTGAATGGCTCAGCTCCAAGCCATGCCAGGAGAGAAAACGCAAATTGGGTGCCATGTAATCAATGGATTCACGTACCATAAGCCAACCAGAATTAAAATATTTTATACCTATTTCTCCATACCAGAAAACCACAACAACGATTGTTATAGAATAACAGAACCAAATTTAGATTGCTGGTATAACTTCACCTTTACCAAACCTATAATTGCATTTTGTATTTGGGGCCATAAAACCACAGATCTACCATTTGATTTTACAATTGGCACACATAACATATGGAACTCGTGCACAACAGGATGGCCATGCTCATACAGGCTATAATGGATACACACCCAACACTTACCCTACCAAATCTCTGCATTTGTCTGTAGCAGCATTATGCAATAATGTTGCCTTCCCTAAATAAAAATGGATTACAAAAGATGAAGATTGGCAAATTCCATCTCTAAAATGGACAAGTGGAGACACCATTTCAATAGGATGCCAAATTGAAAACAATACTGAGTATACAACAGCTTTACATGTTACTGTAGAATACACTGGAAATAAACATGATTTTGACCATGGACATGTTTGTCCTTATGGACACGAATGTTTGTATACCTTTACCATATCCCACTCAGTACTCAACGTGTTTCTGGGCCAACTTGATTTCCATTCCAGTTTGGTCTTCCAGGTTAAAATCGAATTCAACCAACCACCTTTGCCAATCCAGCCTCCTATTCAACTGTCTCCTCGCATTTATGACACAAGCCCTTACATAATTAAAAATACAGGACAAGAGCGAGTTCTCTTTAACCCCAGTTCACCCCTAAAAAGAGTGGAACTAGTGCTGCACATTAATGTATCAGCAATTAGACCAGACTGTTATACCTTTTGGGGAGTTGCTCACACTGGCTAACTAGCATTGTTACATGGACGAGCATTTAACAATAAGCAATCCCGATGCATACGACGGGACACCACCGGGTTACTGGGAACAGGATTAGGAGTACTAAACAGCGCAGACACTGAAGCCCTAATGAACAAACTGCTACTACTGACAATCTAACCAAACTGGAATGCCCACTAAAGTCATCTTTATCAGCCTTGGGAGCAAGTCAATGGCTCCTATCAGACCTTTTACCTTATTGGGAATGAATTGAAGAAAACGATCATCAGTTAATTGTAAACGCCCTCGGAGCAGCCCAAGGTAATGCCTCTCTTGCCTTGAGTTGTACCCAAGCACAATTGTGGATACAGTCTATAGTAGCAGCCATTAGCAGAGAAGGAGAAGGAGGAACC